GCTTGGATGCTTTCTTGGTATTTGGTGCTGGACGTGTCCAAAAGGGAATCAGCGGATTCAAATTCAGGCCGCATACATGAGGGTAAACGGCGTTGGCTAATTTAAGTGATAATGTGATATTTAACTCCTAGACGTTTCATTGTGACATTGTCCAGATGCCATTCCTGTAAAAGCTCGGATAACAAACACTTGAACGTTTCACTTTAACTTAAGTGAATCTGGTGTTTCTAAATTTTCCGACACTTTTACTACTCGAAGTCGAATTAAAAAAAAAAAAAAAAGGGAACAAAAGCGAGCAGCTCTAACTCGCCAGAATGCAAACAGCATCATTAGAGAAAATTATTCAAAGGAGCTCATTTCAGCCTGCCCTGTCTGCATGACTCAGATGATTGGACTAAAGGGCTGCACTTCAGCGAAACCCACTACAATTTTCCTCTATTACTTCATAACTCTGTACTATTCTGGACAACAATTAGTGTTAACACTCAAACTGCCCCTAGCACGTTAGCTGTTTAACACCTGCACTTTTCCCTCCACAGAAGCTAAATATAGACTCTCAGCTTTACTGGTGCAGTAACACCAACATGTGAAAAATGACAGGTTCTTGCATCTTCAACTGTTCATCCTTCAATTGAAAGTAACTATATACATAGTGCGGTATGTTTTGAATGTGGCTGTTTACTTTATGAAGTGTTTTTTGTGTTTTTTCCATCGACGAGTCAAAAGCATCTCAAAGTAAGTTGATCAGAAAACATAAAAAATGTATATATTTCAGGAGGAGTCTTGGACGTTGGAAATGTATGATAAAATATTTGAGATTCACCCATCGGACATCTGTAGCCAATTTGTGATCTCCATTTTTTGCAAGTCTTTTTTTCAAACCAGCTGATTTAACTTTTTCATTATTCTGATTTTTCTTTAATAATTGTAGCTTAAGAAGGTATCAGAACGGCATTCAAAAACTGTTTTTTTGGGGGGGGGTTTTCGATTGTGACTGAGCATTATTTTTGGAGCACGGACAGTGACACAATCAGCATACAAAAAAAACTGATGACGGCACAGGTGACCTTTTAAACTGCCTTTAACGTTTCTTACTAGAAACCAGCACGACTGGCTAAACTAACTGGAAACAGTGGTGTATAAAAAAAATAGACAAACTTTGCTGTATACCGTTAAGCCTTTACGTTGTCTGCTTAAAGTTTTGCTCTCTCTCACAGCCTGAATTAACCACAGAACCGCCATGAAATATTGTAGAAATCTTTATATCTGTCTCTTTAAGACCAACTGAGTTTTTACGGATAGTTTGGTCACCAACTGTAAAACAATCAAGTCTTTGAGTCTTCACGAGTCAGGATGAGTCGAGCTGAATGTTGTTCCATTTCTCTGTGCATTTCTACAAAATCTTTAAGACGAGCCGGGTGCTGGCGTGTAAAGTCTATTTGTGTAAATTTATAGTTGTCTTGAGTCTAACTTCAAATTCCTGGCGTCGTTTTCTAAGCCTCATAAAAAGACTCAGCTTATCGCTTAGTAAATATGCTGGCGAACGTGTCATCTGTGGTTGGACATGGCATCCAGACAAAACAAGTCTTACAAAGGGTCTAATCCTGCTCTGCCTGGCCACACTCCAAATCACATTTCCCTGCTCTATTTACAGAATCTTAAGAATAAAAGCTAGTTGTGAGCAAAACAACACAAACATAGATGAGGGTGGAGATTTTGTGTCTGTGTGTTCTAGCAAAGCTAGAATATCTGTTATCTCATCATCAATGGTTTCACATGACTAGCCAACAGGACTGTTGAACCACTATTCTCCACTTTTTCTTTCTGGTTCTAGATTCAAAGAAGGGAGGGGGGTCTGTGTGAGGAATAAATTCGTTTTGAGTCTTTGATACAAATCACATGAGGCTCAACTGAATATAGATAAAGTATACAAGTACAGCGAAGTAGTCTAAATGTACAAATTAATAAATGAGAATTTGTTGGCTTAAAAGTTTGTTTTTCTCTGTCTAAATGGTGAAAAAGTCCAATCAGTTTTGGACTTGCAGCAGCCAAATAAGTCCCATTTCTGATCCCTAAAACTGTAGTCCTGTGAAGAGAAGAAAAGCTCTTTTTCAAGAGAAGCGCATTTGGCTTCTCTTTGCCATGCAAACCCTTTAGCCCTCAGTATTTCTGCCAGTAGCTGTCCACGTAATAGGCTAGTATGTATCTTCCTTAGAGCTAGCTGCTAAAAGTATCAATGTCTTTCTAAGCAGGGTTTAACAGAGCATGTCCCCGCAGTGAAAACCTTTTTGTCTAAACTTGGATAGAGGCTGTAGCATACCGACTTGGCAATTCCAGTTGGGTTACCAGAAAATGACCAACCAGCCACACACGTAGCTGAAAATCTACACGTGAAATATTGCTGATTGCTGTGCGGAGACGCGTGCGCACATGCACATGTTCAAACACTTTGAGCATGCAGAGCAACTGAATACCGGTGCATAGAAACAATCTACAGTCTGATCATCATGGCCGGTCGTCTCTCACCTGTGCAATCCTGCATTTGAGCTCAGCTTTCTCAAGCTCCCAGGCACATCTGTCTCTGGTGTACTGCAGCTGGAGCTCGCTCCTCTTCTCCTCCTCTTTCTTCACCTCGGCCTGCACCTCCTCCAGAACCGTCTTCAGGTCCAGCAGAATCCTCCTGTTCTCCCCACCCTGCGTTGATACACAAACGGCATCCCGCTTTCTTGTTAAGCGTGGATCACATGTTTGACCTTCACAAAATCTGAATTTGAAGCTCCGAAGAACCAGGAAGTGGTGGTTCTTGTATGGACGTGACTTTGAGCAAATCCTAAGCTTTGTGTCATTTATATGTATATATAGATTCTAATACTTATCTAACAAACATTTAGTTTGATGTTCATTTTTTGATCTAATGTAAACCTTATGGATAAAACAAGATTGAAAGTGCTCCCTTTTGAGAGTACAAAAAGAATAAAGCCTTTCCCACATATTATGAACGAATTTATTAATTTTTAATTGACTCCCGTTCATGAAAAAATAAATCAGTTCAGGTTTGATCAGACGACGAGTTTTAGATTTTTATCCAGAGATGGTCAAATGCAGGACTATGATGTTTAAAAGACTATAAAACAGCTTTTTATGTTGGGTGGATATCATATGCTTGTAAAAGCCAAGTTGTTTTCTTGCTCTCCTCAGTTGCTCTTACTGTTGGCACCACCGCATTCCTGTTTGCCACTGACTGGACTTCTAATGAGCAATAGAAAATAGAAAAGCTTGTGGCCAAGATTTTTTCTTTTATGACAAATGCCCTGAGTGGGGAGCCATACTTAAAAAAATAAACTCCTTGGTTAATATTGGTACAGAAATGCTGAATAAATTATTCCTTCTAATCTATTACTTGGATGTCAGCAACTTGTCTCAATAAGGACTCCTTCTCTCGCATCCAGTCTTCTTTATCCTGAACGTGTCGCTTTTTCAGATCCTCTAGTTTCTTTTTAAGCCGCATGTGGTGCATTTGCTGCTGCTGCTGCTGGGGTTCGGGGCCCGGCCACATTTGTCCCCTGAGGACCTCGAGCTGCTGGGTCCCTGCCCCTCCCTCTCCTCCAGTTTGCGAAGCGCTGATCGGGGGCTCCTGGATGTGGCTGAAAACGGTGGGCGGGGAGGAGATCCTCCTTAGCGGGCTGCGGTTTTTGCCCCGGCCCCTGTCAGCTTTCTCAATCCTGGAGCGAGGCACAAACTCCCACCCCTGAGACTGCACGTAGCCCCCGCCGCTGGCGCCCTGCAGCCCTGCGCCGTTCATAAAGGCGCTCCACATCGCTCAAATGCATGCACATAAAACACTCAAATATGCAATGGAAAGTCACCAAACGATGTTGTGAGCAGCCATTTCTGCTCTGAACAGTTTTGATCAGTTCACTGACTCCTCCATCAACATCAACTTTAGTAACTTTTAGGAGTTATCCACACCCGGCCAAATCCCGCCTCGGGCACACGGCTTCACCCCTGGTCACCGTCGCAGGGACACGCTGGACGGGACGGGATGCTTCGGCCGTCTCCATGTCTTCACAAAGATGAGGTCAAGATTCCATGCTGGTCCCCCACTTCGCTCAGTCCTTGTCCTTTACAGACCCGCTCTCGGTTGTCCACCTGCGCTGCTTTTCTTTTGCGCGTCCTAACCAAGAATGAGCCGTCCCCTTGAAGCGACAGGCGCCCGTAAACACTCCGAGGCAAAAAGGAGAAGCTCCCAAAAATACCACGGAGTGCTTCTGATGTAACAGCAGCGGCGAGTATTTTTACCCCTCTGTAACCAGGAGTTTTCTCTCTCTCTCTCTCTGAGGCTGAACGACGCCTAGAGGCGACAGCGGAAGAAGAGCCCCTTAATCAACACCGAAGTCTTTTAATTACGTCGCCACCTTGCGCCGTAGCCATGGCAACGGATCGATTCGAGCACCGCGTCGCGGCAACTTTGATGGCCAAAAGTGAGCAGTCGGTTCTTTTAAGAGACCGCAAACGACCCATTTTGAGTGCCAAGAAGAGGAAGCGTTTAACAAACTGCTACTTTTGCACAGCAAATTATCTTTAGCTTGGCTGTAAACAAAGCAGGTTTGTTTCTGCTGTTAGCTGAAGTATGAGAGGAGGCTGACTGTCACGAGGAGAGCAAAGAGGGGTGGGCGTCCATTAACCTAGAAAGCAGACAGCCACACAACTCCACATGAAAACGATGTTCATTTGTTCATAACTGTCACCTTATCCTAGTCGTAAACTCGTAAGCCACATACCAGCTAGCTACCTTTAAAGTTCGCGGTCTAAAGTCTTAACTCGTACGAAGCACACGCTATTTGCAGCCTTACCGTACGTCTTGTAAGGTTCTGGGACGTGGAAGTGGTCGTCCTTATTTTAAAACAGCCACCAATTGCCCAGCTACTTTTCGGACAGCTGAAACACTTGAACACTTGGTCTGGGCTGGGACGCAACAGCACTGTTAAAAACAACTGCAGTGAGGGGGAATGCCTGCAGTTAAAATGATGCTTTCATTAACTGGAATAAAATTCCCCTTCCTCCCTTCCTCCCTCCCTCCTACTCGTGTCTCTCCTCCTCTTCCTCCCACAGCTGGCCCTAAGACAGTGTGTGACGTGCAACATCCCACCGGTGGGATAAAAGAAGCGGACCGAGTCCACCTCCCATCCTGGTGGCCAGACGAGAACCCCCCATCTGCACATTTTTGTGCTGGGTCTGCAGACCCCACCCGTGGCTATTTTTAAATAGTCTATTGCTGCAAAAACCCACAATCCAAATAGGTAAAACGCCAGTCTCTCTGTCTATGTGGAGGGCTAAAAGGGTCTGTAATGATGAACTTGTACTCTTATAACAAAAATGCATAGCTTTTCGAGAATGAGAATGAAAAAAAGGTTTAAAAAAATAACCAAGCACAAAAAACGATGATATAAAGGGGTAGCATCAATATCTGGAGGTTTAGTGACTCTCAAGATATGGGTAAATACCATAACTTGATGCAAAATAAAAGAAAGACGCATAGAATAATCAAAGATACAAGAAAAATATAGAACATTACAGAAAACATATGCCCACATATTTGTCATTTTTCTTCTGTAAATGACCAATAGACCATTTCTTGCACATAACGTCACCCGCTCAGTGACTCAGCACAGGGAAGCTTTCAAGACACGCACAGTGTCTATTTTATTTTTTTTTTTATCTTTCTCTATTTGCATTTTGTCAAAAATACAACCATGGTTAACTCCATTATATTTGGATCTCATGTGATAAACCAATGAAAAGTGCCACATGATTGGGAAGTTGAAAGAAAGCGATACATGGCTCTGCAATTGTGTAAAAAAAAAAAAACAAACAAAAAAAAACTAGATGTGTGGCATTCATTTTTATCCAACCTCCTTTAATCTGATGATATCCTGAAATAAAGTCTGGTGTAACAAGTCGCTTTCAGAAGTCATTGAATTAGTTGATAGAGAGTGTGAAATTGAATAAAACTGTTCTGTGCCTTCAGAGGCCTCCACAAATATGACCTTTATGGAAGAAGAGAGCCATTTTTTTTAAAAGCCTTGTTTAAAGTTTGTCACATATCATGTACATGGCAAACATCAGATGAAACCAAACTTAAGCACACGTTGCACACCATCCTAAACATGTGTGGTGAAGCAGCATCGTGCCGTGGGTTAAGGAAAGTGGTCACAGCTGATGAGAAGACAAAGCTAAGCGCAGAGAATTTTTGGAAGGAAGGAGTGAGTGGGGTTCCTAATAAAATGAAAAAGTTCCGGGGCTGTGAATACTTCTTACAGAGGAAAACATTACGCAGAACATTACAAAGAATGACAAGTACACGGAAACCCCACACATTTTGTGGTCTGTCTGTATGTTTGTGTTTTGAATCTACTGTGTTACAAAAGACGACCAAAAGATGATGAGTTACACATCATACCATCAGCTCAGTGACTCAGCACAGAGGGGCTTTCAGGAAACAAAACAAATGTAGCACTGACAATAACGGTCACTGTTATTGTGGGCATGAACCTGAGTTACTGGATGCATTTTCACTGCAACGCACCACTGCTGCTGTAACCCAAACCTCAACATGCACCGTCCCCCTCTGGCTGCACCCAGATGTATAGCAAATGTCGGACGAGCTGGGAATATCTCAGAAACCGTTGTTTCGTTGACCCATTCAAAACCCCCCAGTGGATGAATTACATAAAAATAAACCGAGTGCAGTCTACACAATGTGGTTTCAAGCTGTTCACAGTTTAGTAAACAGATTCTTTTTTTCTTTTTTGTCCTTTCTTGCAACGATCCCAGAGCTTGCTTAAAACACAATGGGCTCGAGTTTTTCAGTGTGTGCTTGAAAGTGAATTCATATGCGACAACACTCACCTAACTCTCCAGCATCACTCCTAAGCTACGCTTTGTCCAGGGTGTGGCAAGCAATCGCAGTCCACGGATGATTGGAGTCGTACTTGGGGAAGTGGAACTGTCCTGTACCTTGAGTGACCGTATGCGATGCGTTGAACGTAACAGAACAGAACTTAAGATGAACGAATAATGTAGCAAACAATATGAAAAAGAAAAGTGCACTGCGTGGTCTTGAGCGTGTGCTTTACAGAACAAAGAACAGGGTGAAAAGAAATACCAGTTTGAAAATGGTGGCATAAGAGAGCGAGGAAAACAGAACGAGGATGAGGATGAGCAAAATAATGGGTTGAAACATCTGGGTGGATGTGAAGAGCAGGATTGCAGTTGATCAGAATGAGAAAACTCTACAAGGAAACCACAGAGGTGCGTTCGTCTGCAGTGGCTTACAGACAGCGGTTCTTCTGGCTGTTTGTCGTCCTGCTTGGGGACATCCAGACGGTCTATGAAGGTCTGCAGCTCTTTCCTGAAAGCTTTCATCTGGGCATTGATTCGATACAGCAGCTCATGCTCTCTAATCCTGCAGAGCAGACGTGGAAAAGCTGAATCCAGGGTTTTCACAATGCAGTCTAGTGATTTATTATTTATTTGTTTATTACCTGCCACCTTCTTCCTCCTCATCCAGCCTGGCAAACAGCTCCCCGTTGGTTACGTACACTCGGGCCTCAGCGATGATAGTGCTGGTGTCAGCGATGAGCCTGTCGATGGTCCGGCCCAGCCTCTCGGCCTCAATGCGGATGTCTATCATCTGCTGCCGGTCCCGCAGGCTTCTGGATAAAAAACGGCTATCTACTGGAGAGTAAAGGGAGCGCGTCGGGGTGAGGCAGCGGAGGTTTCTCACCTCGTCGGAGTCGCTCTCTCCCCCGATGGGGCCCTCACGCTTGCGGTGCGGCGGGAGGAGGCGAGGGGAAGCGGCGGAGGCCGACGGAGTGTCGTCGTCCCGGCCCCCGTCACTCTCCGCGTCGCTATCCCGCGGGCTGCCGCGGATGCCCAGGTGGGAGGCCAGGTCGTAGCGCTGCATGTTGGAGAGCAGCACGCGGTTTTCGTACTGGAGCTGCATGACTTTGCCGCTCAGTTCATTGATCTGCAGGCGTGCCGCTTTCAGCTCCTCTTGGAGCGCCTCCAGTTTAGCCTGATCACCCCCACCTGAAGGCAAGTAAAAGTGAAAATGAACTTCAAGCACTAGCATAATTCAATAATGCTCTTGGAAGACATATGGGATCGTTCCTACTGCTACGTTAGTAAATAAGGAAGTGATCTCTCAAGTAGGGCTGGGCAATGAATCGATAACAATATATATCGTGATAGACACGCGATCAATATCAATACAAAGCACATCGGATATTATGTTAAACAATTTCGCAAAACAGAATTATGGGGCATGTGAGCAGAGGAAAGGCTTTAACTGCTCAACCTCTCAAAGTCAGCTAAGCAAAGAGAGTGGCATCAACTAACTCACTCTCTCTTTGGTTACCTAGCAACAACCTGTTAAATAACTTGCACAGCAGCAGTTACAGGTGAAAATGAATACAACAGCTCCAGAAGAAATTGTGGATAAAACAGGAAAGGTCATATCACCAGTTTGGCAGTAATTCATATTTTTAAAACAAACAAACAAAAAAAATCAATAATTATCAGCGCCTGATGTGAAATGCTTGTGTCATGACATGTTTTTCAGTCATATTGCCCAACCCTACTCTCAAGTGAAATCATTTATTTGCCGTGCAACATAGTTTTCATTTCAAAAAGCAAACAAACCTCCTCCGTGTCTTGATCCGGCCTCATGGGACCCAGCCTTGTATTTGAGCTTATTGAGCTCATTTGTTACCTGAGGAAATGTAAATTCAATCTTTGGTGAGGTGGCTGGTCAAACAGCAGAAAGTTTGGAATTTAATTGGTGTAAAACAGCAGAACATACATAAATATATATATATTTTATGTAATCCACCCAACAAACCTTTTTATTCTCTTCTTCTACATCAGCTAAGTTCCTGCGGAGGAGTTCTGCCTCATCCTCCACCAGCTGCAGCTGCTGCCTTAGTTCGGACAAAGCCTCGCCTTGCTCCCTGCTCTGCTGGCTGCCGCCGCCACTGCCATCCCCTCCTGCTGCCAGACTAGAAAATACAGGTAAATATAAGTTTAGGTTTGCTGGCTTTCTTTAAAAAAAAAAAAAAAGAAAAAAGAAAAGGACAAGCTTTCAAATATCAAATAAAATTCTTCACTTTTCAAATTCCCATCACATTTTAACATCTAAAGTGTTGATTGAGATGAGGGTACCTGTCCTCTCTCATGTCATCCAGTTCAGCCTTCAGTCCTCTGTTCTCCACCTCCAGCTCCACAATCTTCCTCCCCAGGATGTTTGCCTCCTCTTCCACCAGGCGCAAGCGGAGCTTCAGCTCAGACTCCCGGGTGGTGGGAGGCCCCCCGGCCTCGCCTTTGGGCAGCGGGCTGTCCACGTCCCCATAGAAGGAGCGGTACTTCTGCAGCTCCTGCTCCAGACGATCCTTCTCTTTGTCGATCTTCGCCATCTTTTTTCTCATTAAGATGGCTTCCTCCTTGATGAAGGCGAGCTGGCACCTCAGGTCCTCATTTTCTTCCTGCAAAATGGTAAGGTTGCTTTTTACTTGCTCTGGTTTCTGTGACTTCTTTATGTCTTAAGCACCTACAATTTTCATTACAGTAGAATATGTATTTTGACTCGGGGTCAAAATGCAGATGCACAGCACACTTGATTTTATTCGGAAAAAGCTTTTAAAAATAATGCTTCCTTCTTCTTCTTGCGTAACAATTACACTGTATTGTTTTGTTGGTCACGTTAAATGTGAATAGAACAGATTAAATGGAACAAAATGTGAAACATCTTACAGGGTATTACTAATTGTCTGGGAATTGTGCAATTTAGGCCTTATTACTTAAAATATCCATGGAGGTTTAGTACTCAGTGGTTGAGTAAACACAAGACTTGACTCACCTCAACGGGCGTCTGTGGCATCTTTTTCTCAGTTCTCTGCGCGTCCTTACTTCCTTTTCTTTTCAGGGAGAGCTGCACAGAAGCAATGGCAATTATGTCATATTGTTTTCAAACTGAAAGTGGTGATTTAATCCAAATTTTTTTTTACATTACCAAGTTTATTTACAGAAAAAAAACTCTCACTAATTAATAAATCCTATCACTGGGCAACATTTTAAAATATAAATCAGGCTGCTCAGATTTTATTTTCTGTTTTTGAAGCACACAATCAAAAACATCCCTAAGAACAATTTACGGGGTCAGAAATGTGTTGTGTTGCAATTAATTGAAAGGAGTTGTTCTGGGAGGGGGGGAGGATTGAAATGCACAAACAAGCAGGAGGCGAGGCTACTTAAGTTTGAGTCATTTTATGCATTTTTGGTTTTGTGTGTTAATGAAAATCCTTGAAAACCTAACTCAGTCCCATAAACCAGTGAAAGGTCGTGTTTTACCCTTAAGAAGAACTTAAAAACGCATATAGATTTTTGCCTTTGTACAACAAAATCCACGATTCGAGCGTACAGTGTGCATAGTTCTCTCTGTACGGTACGAAATCACGGGTCATGAACTTTCCACTCCCATCATGCATTGTGTCGCTCTTAAGGAGGGATTATTTCGACAGAAATCTCTGAAATAATAATTTAAAAAATAACCATATTTAAGCATAAACTTAAATGAATGGTTTACCCAAATGACCAATAAAATCCACATTCCTAACATAGTTTCAGGGCTCTACAGCTGCTTATTACAGTATGAAACATTTCTTTCTAGCCACCTTCACTGCATCCTGCCTTGTCACTACTTGAAATTGCACTCTTTATCTGCTGCTTTTTTTTTTTTTAGTTACACATTGTCTTTCCTCATTCCCACTCCATTGCCATCCAAATCGATTTTAATCAAGTTTAATTTTCCTCCCCGTCTGACCCAACGAAGTAGAAAAACGAACAAACGCGTCGCCTCGACTTTCTTTCTCACCTCTCTGGCTTTCTCCAGCTCATTTTGCAGGGCCTGTTTGGTGACCTCCACTTCTATCAGCTGCTGCCTCAGCTTCTCGTTCTCCTCCTCCGTCCTTGTCCTCTTCTCCTCGACATTCTCCAGTTCGTGGTGCAGGCGCACCGACACGTCCTTTGCCACCTGCAGGAAGAGGCCAAGAAAGGCAAACACACAGTGCCTTGTGAATGTTTTCGTAAACGCCAGGCTAAAGGTCGTTTGTTTAAGTCTGGCGGTGTGTGACGGCAGGGAAACAATAAAAGATGCAGGACAGTGGGTCCTGATGACCACAATCGATGGCACTGGTTTAGGACTCTGCTTCAATACATCTGAATCCAAAATGTTAATGTAGCCAGAAATGACTCAACAAAGAGGCTAAATACAAAACATGTGATTCTTTGCAAGGTTTAATTTCTGACAAGTTGTGAAAATCAGTCCGCAATCTTTACTATAACGCACTATTTTGTGTTGATCTGTCACATCAAACCGGTGTAACTTGGCAAAAATATGAATAAAAAGTCACTTTAAGGGCAAAAAGCTGTTTTTCATACATAAGGGCAGATTACAGGCATCACGGACTTACCTTCAGGTCTTGCTCCAGACTTCTGAGGAGCTCTCCATCCACTTGGCCGCTTTCATTAAACCTCAGCCTCTTCCTCTCGGCCTTCTTCAGCCGGTATTGGAGGATGCGACAGTTTTTGTTGGCCCTCTCCAACTCTCTGCGCATGTCCTGCAGCTGACAGGCGTCCTCTTCATAGAAAGTGTCCCGCATCTCATCCATCTCTGCCCGCATCTCCTCAATCTCAATCTTGAAAACGGCGAATCAGCTTTATCAGATCATTGCATGCAGCAAATAAAAATGACAACCCCCCCCCCCACGCATGCAAATACAACAGGTGTAGCTGATGCTGCGGTTCGTGTGTGTGTTTGTTTGTGTGTGTGCATCTTTAGCTATATTTACCTTTAAATCTTCATTTTCGTCCTCCAGCCTCTCGATTTCTTCTTGCAGCCTCTCGTCGGGCTGTGCAGACGGCTGTGGAGCGGCGGGCTCGGGGGACAGCTCCGGCTCCGGCTCCGACGCTGGCGGAGACGCGGACTTTGTCTGCATCTTGGCTCCTTTCTTCCCCAGGCTTTTATTCAAGTGAAACTGTATCAGTTCGGACTGCAAGCATCCTTCCTTCCAGAAACCGGGTCCGCATCCCACAGTGCTTTTAGAGCTCTTCTTATTGCTGCTGCTGCCGCCTCCAGCTGAGGCGGACTCTGCGCCTCTCGGGTTTTTGCTCCTCAGTTTCGGGGACTTGGATGCGCACGGCTGGTCGGAGACAACGCGGCTCGAATCGGCTCTGGAGGGCGAGGAGGCGTCGCCGGCGGCGCCGGCGGTGGTGGGGCGGGCGGAGTCTTCGGTTGCCTGCGCCGCCGCGGGCCTGCTCGGTGTCGGGCTTTCAGCACCAGCAGACTGGACAGCGGCCGCGCCTCTGCCGGGAGGAGCACTTCCGGCCTGCCGCTCCCTGCCTGTGGAAACGGGAGAATGACCTCGACTACCTCTGCCTCCTCCTCCTCCTGCTCCTCCTGCTCCACTTGCTGCCGCTTGCTTTGGTGTGACGGGCTTAGCCGAGCCGCTGCCCTTCTGCACAGTTTTAGATCCGGTTTCCTTGACACCGGCTGGAGACGACGAGCGCGCCTGCTTCCGGCTGCTATTGTCTGGCTGCCGAGAGGAGTCGGCAGAGGATGGGTTCATCATGGTGTCAGAGGATCAGTTCATTCTCGTTAGTATCCACCCTCTCCATCTGTGTCCAGACTAATAAGAATCTGTAGAGATCGCTCTACAGGTCCACCAATGTCTCCCAAGTTTCTTTGTCTTGCCCTGTGGAAAACAATGAATTAGGGAAAGAAGAAGAAGAAAAATGGTTCCCCATGAACCCAATCGAAGGTAATAAGATTAGGCTCTTGTCAGTGGAAAGTTGCCAGCAAAAGGCGGGGGTGGGGCTAGGTGGGGATACAATGTGATCAATGATTATGCAGTTTGCCCTTTTGGGTCTCCGTTTGATTCCTGCCTTTTGTGTGAGATCAGCTGCAGTTCGGGTAGTTAGACATTTGCGTCAGATGCGCCCAACGAGCGGGCAGAGAGGGAAATGTAATGTCACTGAGCTGAGGCGGCAGACAACCAATTAAACCTCGCTGCCGTTTCACTGACACCAGAGCGCTGATGTCAGTGAAACGGTTCTGATCGGATTCAACGGCAACAAAAGCAGCTTCGACGCTGGACGAGAAGCACCAACTCATAAAGAGTGGAGCTGCTTCCTGTCAGCCATCATTTCATCCGCCACATCCTACATGCCGGATGACTCAGTAAGCCGACTCGAACGGATGGAGGAGCAGATAAACAGAAGTGTCTTAGGCCACTTGATGGGAAAACAAATATCTCTTTTTTTTAAGTCTATTTAATTGCTAACATGATTCATTTAGTTTTTCTTTTGTGTGCGTGTGGGGCTTTTAAAGCTCTAATAATGAAGAGCTTCTTTTTCATCCATTGATTCAGCTGAGCGACATTAAATGAGTCTGAATAAAGAGAAAGCGCAACTCCGTTCCACATTCTAGGAGAAGCAACAGCAAACCAGCCACGTTGCCGGCCTGACAGCAGCTACAGAAAACAATATGGACAACAGTCCAACGTTGTCCTTCATCCCGGTTACTGCTGCCTAATTCACGCAAAACCTGTGTGTTTTCTTCTATTTTCTTTTTTTTTTTTTTTTACAAACAAACAAACAAACTAAACCTTTAATTCTGAAAATAATCATCCCGGAATCAATTTCTTACCTTTTCTGTTCCGCTTTGTCGAATCTCGGGCAGATAGTGGTGATGAAGAGGAGAGAGGAGATGCTGACTGGACCGCCTCCCGAGCTCCAGCCAACCTGTTTCAATATTCATGACATTACATCATCACTGGGAGGGCCGCGGCCGGGGATGGAGGCGCAGGCGGCCGGCTGCTCTCATTGGAAGGAGAGACGGGACATTACTGGTCCTGCTGTCCTCCATGTCTGTCCCATCCCGATTGGACGCGAGGGTCCTCTGCTCCAAACCGGCGGACTGTGAGATGGACACTGAGGTTGAATACACGAAGTTCTGACATTTTCTCAACTGCAGGACTTTTAGCTTAATGAGGTTTTGAATGGAAGCTCAGCTGGAGAGGCCAGAATGTTTGCAATAAATAAATAAATAAATAAATAAATGAGCACACTGAGAAAGAAGATCTGTCTTGTGTAGTTGATTAGTTATAATTCTGGAAAATGATTTCTGAACCACTGCAATTACAGCTGCTGCAGGTGTTTATACGTCACGAAAGACTTTCCAAACAGTTGTATTTATGCTGGTGTCTAATAATTAGTA